GAGAGAGAGAGAGACAGCGTGAGCAGGGGAGGGTCAGAGAGAGAGGGAGTCACAGACTGAAACAGGCTCCAGGCTCTGAGCTGGCAGTCAGCACAGAGCCTGACGCGGGGCTCGAAACCACGAACCGCGAGATCATGACCTAAGCGAAAGTCGGACGCTTAACCAACTAAGCCACCCAGGCGCCCCAAGACACCCATTTTTAACGTTCATTTTGAAAAAAATTCAGACTTACAGAAAAGTTGCCAGTATTCTTCAATAAGCTACATTGTACTTTTATCTAGATTCACCATTTATTAACATTTTGATTCATTTGCTTTATCACTTTTTTTTTAAGTTTGTTTATTTGAGTGAGAGTGTATGCACAAGGCAGGAACCCAGAGATAGGAGAGAGAGAATTCCAAGCAGGCTTAATGCTGTTAGTGCAGAATTATGAATCATGAGATTATGACCTGAGCCAAAATCAAGAGTCAGACGCCCAACCAGCTGAGCCACCCAGGTACCCTGCTTTATCACACTTTATATACATATTATTATCATGACTATTTTATATGATTTTGTCTTTAAATAATCTCTACACCGAATGTGGGGCTCAAACTCTCAACCCCAAAATCAAGAGTCTCATGCTCAATTGACTGAGCCAGCCAGGAGTCCCATCAATATTTTAAACATTTTTTGCAAGTATGTTGCAGACATCAAGACCCTTTTCCCATGAACACATTGTCTCCTAAAGATGACATTTGTCTGTGCAACCACAGTGTAGTAATCACATTTAGGAATTTAAACGTTTATACAATATTTTTATTTATGTAGTATATGATAACATATTCATATTTTGCCAGCTAGCAATTTTTTTTCTGATCCAGGACAGTCCTGTACAATTGCAACTAATTGTGTTTCAGCTAGTTGTCATGTTGGTTCCTCAGCCTTTGTCTTCCATTACGTTGACCTTTTTTTCTTAAAAGAGTTTAAATAATCTCTACATCCAGTGTGGGTCTTGAACTTACAACCCCAAGATCAAGAATTACATTCTCTTCTGACTGAGCCAGCCAGGTGCCCCACATTGACATTTTTGAAGGATTTAGGACAGTATTGCAGAATAATCTTCAGTTGGGTTTGTCTGATGTTTCTTCTTAGACTCAGAGTATGGGTTTTTAGCATGAATATGTAATAAGTTATCCTGAATTTTTCTCAGAAAATCATGTCAGGAAGGCATGTAATGACTGCTGGTCCCATTATTGATTGATGATGTTAATTTTGATCTCTTCTTGGTTAGGGTGTACAGTTATTCTGTTCCTCTTTGTAATTAACAGGTAATCTGTATGGAAGATTCTTTGAGACTATGTAAATGTCCAGTTCCCTGAAAAACCTACCTGAAAGTATTAGCATCCGTTGAAGATTCTGGTCAGAGTCAGTTATTTAATTTATTAAAAACAATTAAAAAAAAATACTTTTGTTTTAGTTTTGAGAGAGAGACAGAGTGTGAATGGGGGAGAGGCAGAGAGAGAGAGGGAGACACAGAATCCAAAGCAAGCTCCAGGCTCTGAGCTGTCAGCACAGAGCCCAAAGCGAGGCTTTTAACTCACGAACCGTGAGATCATGACCTAAGCCAAAGTTGGACACTTAACCGACTGAGCCACCCAGACGCCCTATGTCAGAGTCACTTATTACTATGATAATTGCATAATGGTTATTTTTCTAACTCTTACAGTTTCTTTTACATGTATTAGCTTTATTAGTTGGCATTCTACTGCAAGAAAGACTTCTCCCCATGTTTAGTGATTTACTTAGAACTAGTATTGACTCACGGATTGTTTTATACGATATGTTGTAATTCTTTGTATAATCCATTATTGAGTTTGATGTTCAAATTATCCCTGGATTTGGCCATTGCAGGCTGGCTGTATTGACCATTTGAAAATGTGCTCATTATTTTCTGAGTATTTCCTTACTTTGTACCATAACAAGATAATTTGGGGCTGTGTATGTTTCCTCATGGGTATGTTTACTCATACTTTCTTTGCCCCACCCATGGAATTGGCCACTTTTCCAAGGAGTCCTGATCCTTTTTAAGGGGGGAGTAGTTTTTAGAATCCGAGATCTAGTCATTATATATGCTTATTTCTGCTGAGATGTCATTGCTGCTCTGCTCTTTCAGCAGACAGATCCAGGAAGTAAGTGTGTATGTGTGTGTGTGTGTGTGTGTGTGTGTTCTAGTGTTCTAATCCTGCATTACAGGGTTCTTCTTTCTTCCCCTATTGTATATTTGTATCTTTCTTCTCTCACAGTTAGTACACATGATCTTAGCAACTTCAGTATGCTTACCTGTTTACTCATTGTGATAACACACACTGAATTGTTTTAGTTACTATACCTGACCACTGCAAATAACAAACCTATTAAGGAGTTCAAGATTTCTTTGATGTTTTTTTGCCTTTATATTGAAGTTACGTGGTCTTAAGACTGTACTGAAAGTTGCTTGGATTAGTTTATTTTTCTTACTTTCTGTGAAGTTACGTTATTCGTTTGAAATATAGTCAGTCTTATGTTTCTGTTTGTTTTCAAATATGTAAAACATTAACAGAGTCTGGAAGTTAAAACTGTAATACACACACACATGCACACACACAGATGGTCTCACTCCATCTTCTCTCCTTTCTAGCTGATTCTTGTCCGCTTCTGCAGATAACCAGTTTCATTGGGTTTTGGATATTCTTTACCTCTTTTTGCAAAACTAAGCATGTTTATATAAATATAAATTTGTGTACTTTGTTACACAAATGGGTGTATAATATACATGTACTCTTTTAAATTGCTTTTTTCACTTAATAATATATCCTGGAAATACTCTATGGCAGCTCATGCAGATATTTCTTCTTCCTTTTTACCAGCTGCATAATTTTCCACTGTGTGGCCGTGCCGTGGTTTATTCAGTCAGTCTTTGAGCTTCAGCATTTTCAATAGAAAATACTATTCTTGATTTCTGGGAAATTATAGTTTAAGAAGTTAGGACAGAGGATGGGATTGGGATGGAATTGGGGGGTGGTGCAGCGATAGAACAAAATATTTACAAAAATGGAACTGTTATAAATTTATAACGTCTTTGGTTTATTGAAAACATTCATTTGTACTGAGTTGTCTTAAATTATTTTTTGAGAAATAAGCTATTTTGCCTAGACTCTAGATAATTTAAAGAGGATAGAACTGATTTGTTCATTTTCTTGTGCGCTCAGGGTTTCCTGAATTCCTCTGAGCTCTCTGAACTTCCTGCTGGGCCTGAGACGGAAGGCTCTCTCAAGGATCAGCTAGCCTTAGCAATTGGTAAGTATTTGTAAGGATTGTAGGAGCTGGAAGTTAAGAACTGGATCTCCTGGTATCTTTGATATTTATTCCTCAACACCCAGATCAAGAATCGCAAACTTATGTACCTACACGGGTCACATACTATGAACATGGGAAGCGGGTCATGTTGTGTGTTAGATATTAGTGAGCTGTAGGCCCCCTGAAGAGCTCACACTGCTGAACGAAACCATTACCAAGCTCCAGCCATTTGTTACCTTGGGGTCCCAGTGTGGTCAGAATTTTTAAATTCCTTTAAAAGAATTGAAAAGTCATATGTATGTATGCAAAATTTTTAGTTTTTAGCTATTTGCTGCTAATCAAAATCTGTTTCCAGCACTCTGCAGGCATCACGTTACTGACCAAACTAAGCAAGTCGTCAGGCAGGGGTGGCCTTTGGCACCTTCTAGTTGACTACCTCTCTCTACACTGTGCGAGAAACAGTACATGAGAAATCATCTCACCTTCTTTATGGAGGGATCCAGGAATATTTTGGGGTGTTGTATGTAGGAATTTGATCTCTTCTTTAGAAAAATCTGATCCTGAATGTGTGACGGTACATTCTTTCAAGACCCACTGGCTGCAGGAGCTACATCTGGGTCATCGTGCCAGAACTGATGGGGATTTTGCTTTCTTCCTACGTGCTCTTAGTGGAAGGAGGGAAGTAGGGCTGGGGTTGAGCTTGCTGGGAATTTACTGCTCATCCAACGTTTCCAGTCAAGGCATCAATTCTGTTTTATCAGGTTATCTTGAAGTATGTGTGATTCCGTGAGTCATAGATGAGAAACCAGGCAGACAGCTGTGAATGAGTCTTATTAAGAAATTCTGGAAGAACTGGGTGTTTCAGCCATGTCAGTTTCTGAGAATTAACTATTGTTTAGATGCTTTCAGTAGTTTTTTTTTTTAACGTTTATTTTTGAGAGAGAGAGCGTGAGCAGGGGCAGGGCAGAGAGAGAAGGAGACATAGAATCTGAAGCATGCAGTGGGCTCTGAGCTGTCAGCATAGACCCTGATGCAGGGCTTGAACTCAGAACCACGAGATCATGACCTGAGCTGAAGTCGGACTCTTTTTTTTTTTTTTTTTAATGTTTTTTATTTATTTCTGAGAGAGAGAGAGAGAGAAACAGCGTGAACAGGGGAGGGTCAGAGAGAGAGGGAGACACAGAATCGGAAGCAGGCTCCAGGCTCTGAGCTAGCTGTCAGCACAGAGCCCGACGCAGGGCTCGAACCCACAAACCATGTGATCATGACCTGAGCCGAAGTCGGACTCTTAACTGACTGAGCCACCCAGGCATTCTGAGATGCTTTGAGTAGTTTTAAGATTTATTTTGATTCCTGCATACTCCCCCGTTGAAGACTCAGATATAATTATGGCTCATGCAGAGATATTTACCCAGATTCCTTTTGGGGTCGCTTATTTGAACTTCTGTTAGAGACAGGGAAAACTGGAATCATTTTTGGTTCTTCCTCTTCTTTTTTTTTTTTTTTAATTTTAAAAAGTTTTTACTTTGAGAGAGACATTGCAGGGAGGGGAGGGGAAGAAAAAGAGAGGGAGAGAGAGGATCCCAAGCAGGCTCCGTGCTGCCAGCTCAGAGCCTGATGTGGGACTGGACCCCATGAACGGTGAAACCATGACCTGAGCTGAAACCAAAAGTTCGATGCTTAATTAACTGAACAACCCAGATGCCCCATTTTTGCTTCTTAAAAACAACTCTGAAAATGTTGCCTTTTTATTTCTGATGAGAGGAAGTTGAAACTACCCGATGACATGCGGTTTTGGATTTTCTGGGGCTTTTAGCCATGGACTTTTTCCTGTTAAAGTGGATGATGATTGTCTGTGTCAGTTACGGTGATTTCCGGAAGGGATGGTAATTTCGTTAGGAAGAAAACACTCCATTGCTTTGGAGTGAGATATGGATTTTACTTCCAACTCTGGTGTGCATTAGCTGTGTGACCTTGGGCGGGTACATATGTTGCTTTTTTTTTTTTTTTTTTTAACATTTATTCATTTTTGAGAGACAGAGACAGAGCGTGAGGGGGGGTGCACAGAGAGAAAGGGAGACACAGAATCTGAAGCAAGCTTGAGGCTCTGAGCTGTCAGCACAGAGCCTGATATGGGGCTCGAACTCACTGTCAGTGAGATCATGACCTGAGCCAAAGTTGGATGCTTAAGGGACTGAGCCACCCAGGCACCCCTACATATGTTACTTTGTGTATTTCTCCTAAGAACCTTGCTTTTCGGTCATCTTAAGCAGCGGCATCTCCATCTAACAGAGGAGGTAACAAAGCTTGATAAATTAGTAAATGGGGTTATGTCCATAAGTTGGTCGCCTCAGGTCATATAGCTGGTAAGAGGCAGGACTGTGGGACAGCCTGGCCGGTGTTTTTATTTTTTATTTTTTATTTTTTTATTTTTTTTAATATTTTTTATTTATTTCTAGGAGAGAGAGAGACAGACAGCGTGAGCAGGGGAGGGTCAGAGAGAGAGGGAGTCACAGACTCCAAAAGAGGCTCCAGGCTCTGAGCTGGCAGTCAGCACAGAGCCCGACGCGGGGCTCAAACCCACGAACCGCGAGATCATGACCTAAGCGAAAGTCGGATGCTTAACCGACTAAGCCACCCAGGCGCCCCAGTGGCCGGTGTTTTTAAATACCAGCGAGGCACATAGTTAGTGCTCCATAAAGTGTTCTCTGTTTCTCCCACCCCCAACCTCTCCTCCTATACGCCCTTTCCTCTTCAAACTGCAAATGGTATCTTTCCATCTTAAAAGCATGTGCACAGTGTGCGTGCAGAGGACCGGCTTCCCGACTTGGCCGCTTCTGTGTGTACTTGGGTGCTACCACAGTCATTGTCTCGTGGAAATGTGTTGTTTTCTTTCTTATAGGTAAGCTGGGAGAAAACATGACCCTTAAACGAGCTGCATGGGTGAAGGTGCCGGCCGGGTTCTATGTTGGCTCTTACGTCCATGGAGCAATGCACAGCCCCTCGCCCCACAACCTGGTGCTGGGGAAGTACGGGGCCCTCGTTGTCTGTGAGACGTCTGAGCGGAGAGCAAACCTCGAAGACCTTGGCCGCCGCCTTGGGCAGCACGTGGTAGGCATGGCCCCTCTCTCGGTAGGCTCTTTGGATGATGAGCCTGGGGGAGAGGCGGAAACCAAGATGCTGTCTCAGCCATACTTGCTGGATCCCTCCATCACGTTGGGGCAGTACGTGCAGCCTCAAGGGGTGTCTGTAGTAGACTTTGTGCGATTTGAATGTGGAGAAGGAGAGGAGGCGGCAGAAGCTGAATAGGTTCCAGAGACTTGGCCCCAGAGGAAATGCTTATTCTTAGCTCTAGACATCGTTAGGAAGAGAAGTTATTTCCTGAGCATCTTCAGACCCACAATTTGCGTTTATAATGGAATGATGTTCTCAATGGGTAAAATTCTTAAATAAAACCATTATATAGTAAAGAGAGTAAAATCTTTTCCTTATTTGCGTAATGCTGACTTTACCTTCCCTGTCCGTCCTTGTGGGAAGTTGTAGGAAACAACAGACGGGCTTTATTGAGGTGACGACCTGTCTTCGGAGACAGGCAGGCATAGGTGTGCTCCTGCTCCCCCAGCGTTATCCCCAAAGTGTCTGACTCAGTTTGTCTTACTGCTTCTGTGACTGAGGGCTCTCGTTCTGCTGTGGACTGTGCTTCTATCCTGGAACTTCCCCAGTTACGTTATTTCTGCCACATGGATTCCTTGGGAATTGTTGACTCAGACTTCGAGTTGTCTGGAAAATGTGGTTCATTTGTTGAGGTCTGTAGCGCGCTTTGAAGGCTCTCTGCAGTGGTATACACGCAGGTCTGGCCTCATTACTGAAATTAGTACCACATGGCCCTGTTTGTCTTTTGGATAATGGAGTGTAGATGGGTGGGGATGGAGGTTTCCTGGACAGCTGGAAGGCAGATTTTGGCATTCTCGTGCCAGAAACAGGACCGTACAGTGGTGCAGTTATCTGGAGAACTCACTCAGCAGTGCCTCCTTACTACCCCAGTGCCGAGACAGCCCTCCCAACACAACAAAATAATTACCGTAAGAGCCAAACCCCAAATACTGAAAAGAACTCCTATTTTCTCATACAGATATCTTTACTTGAAAAGTTAAAAATCTCTGACACATACAGATCTGGGCATTAGGATTTTGACCTGGGGTATATATGCAAGTAACTTCAGTGATTGGTGGGTTAAACAGATTTTGGAAATACCGATCTTAAAATTTATTTACTTATTTATTTTGAAGTTTATTTATTAGCACGCACAAGCAAGGGAGGGAGGGGCAGACAGAGGGAGAGAGAGAAAATCCTAAGCAGGCTCTATGCTGTCACCACAGAGCCCTACTCTGGGCTTGAACTCAGGAGCTGTGAGATCATGACCTGAGCTGCAATCAGGAATCTGACGCTTAACCGTCTGAGCCACCCAGGTGTCTCCTGATCTTAAAATTTAAAACAAACGTACATCTTTGCCCTGTTATTAAACTCTTTAAACTTCATTTTTTTTGTTCTCTTACATTGACTTCTATGGATTCGTGTAGGTTTAGTGCTTTCTGCTGGGACTTTAAACTGGAAGGCCACAAAAATTGAAAAATAGGTATTTAACATTTTAGGTATATAACAAGGAATGCAAGGATGAGAGAAATGGAGAACATGCTGTGATTTGCATCCAAATTAAGTAGCTGGCTATTAGGCAAAAATTGGCAGGTACATTCTTTCCTAATATTGGCACTATCTGCTCTCTTCTGTGGTCTTGTGGTAGGCATATCACTTCTTGCCTCAGAAAAGCCCCTTTTCTTTCTTCATTTGGAGCTGCTTCCAGCCAGGCAGAGCATCAAATTGCCCTCTTGTGATGCCAAACACAGAAATAAAGTCTTGTTCAGAGAGGTAATTCTAAGAGAGAAAACCAAGTCTCTGGTTAGAAGGAAAACATGACACCTATCAATGCCAACAGAAGTGGGGGAGGGGAATGTAGAGCCAGAGATCATCTTTGAAGGGGGAAGGAGAGTGAATTTTCAGGAGGTCTGTAATAGACTTAAATTATCTATTGAAGAGTTCTTAGGTTGTGGGGTCCCATTTGGCCTGAGGAGAAGCTGACTGGATTTGCTGCTCTCATGGTCCCACCTGGCACCAGGTTTTTTCCAGAATAACAAGAAATTGGTTATATATGATGAATTCTAGACATTAGGTTTTGGCTGAATGGAGAACTAAATCGAGTGATGGTTTTCCTTCATGCCCTTATCTCCCTTTTTTATCCAGACATTTTCATTTTTTAAAAAATGTTTATTTTTGAGAGAGAGAGTGCAGATGTGTGTGTGAGCGGGGAAGGGGCAGAGAGGGAGAGAGAATCCCCAGCTGGCTCCTCACTGTCAGCATAGAGCCCGATGAAGGCTCAAGCCTGTGAACCATGAGATCGTGTCTTGAGCCAAAATCAAGAGTCAGACACTCAACCGACTGAGCCATCCAGATATTTTCAAATGCATGATCAAGTGGATCTTGTTGAGTGCATAAAATTCCCCTAACATTTATTTATTGATGCTTGCCGAATATTTTCTGAATGAAGATACAGCTTCTGTTTCTAAGAAGGCTGTAGTCCGGATACGTAACAGTTGGATAGATAAGACATTATGGGAAACCCAGAAACCCTTCCCAAATCAACTCCTTCAAGGGGAAAATGAGTTAATCCATTCAACAAGAAAATGTTAATTCATTCAGCCAAAACTTAAAGAGTGCCTACTATGTGCTAGGAACTGTTAGAGGTGCTGAAAAGCAGAGACAGTGGTGGTGAATGAGACAGACAAGATGCTTGCTCTCAAGGAGCAGTAGACAGGGCGGTCAGGGAAGGCCTTTCTGGGGAGGGAACATTGGAGCTGAGGCCTAAACAGTGATGAGGAGCTGGCTCTGTGAGGATCTGAGAGAAGAAAGTTTTTTTAGGTGGGAGCAATACCAGTGTAAAGGCTCACAGGCTGGGAGGAGCATGTCGAAGACAGAAAGGGAGCCATAGGCTGGAGGGGGTGGAAAGTGAAGAAGGCAGTGGTCAATGAGATGAAATCAGAGAGGTGGGCAGGGGCCAGGCTGTGTAGAGCCTTGAAGGCCACACGGGATTTTGGATTCTCTTCTAACCGTAGTGGAGAGCCACGTGAGGCGTTTGAAACAGAACAGTGTTGTTTGTGTTAAAAGCCTCCCAGCTGTTAAATGGGGAACTGATCGCAGGGGGAAGGGTGGAAATCAGGTGGGGGACTATTGCAGTCGTCCTTGATGGCTGGACAGCAGAGAGAGGGAGACGAGGGGGCAGAGGCCAGCTGAGGGGTTGATGTGGGAGCCCCGGGTTTTTGTCTTGAGCTGCTGGGTAGCTCAGGTGTCTGTTGAGGGGCCTATGGTGTGCCATAGTGGTCCTACTAGGCCACGTGCGGAGACCGGTGCTTTGTTCGTGGAGAGCTCTGCTCACATCAGACACGGCTCCTCTAGCCACTCACCTCCTTCTTGGCAGGGTTCACATCCTCAGGCAGCTCCTGATTTTGACTTTTCAACAGAACTTCTATAGGGTAATATTTTTGCTCCGAATTCAGGGAGAGGGTTGCATTCTTCATGTCCTAGGCGAGGTAAGAATGTAGACAGGATAAGAGACGGTTCGGGGTCTGTGCAGTCGAAGTTCTGTGTGTATAACATTGAGTATTGTGGCTTATACCACTGCACCCTTTGTGATTACCTTTTAGAACAGTGCTCTCTAAAGTTGGCCGTGTGTCAGAATCATCTGGAAATCCTAAAATATGCAGATTTGAGGGGCGCCTGGGTGGCTCAGTCGATTGGATGTCTGACTTCGGTTCAGGTCATGATCTCACGGTTCGTGGGTTCGAGCCCCACGTTGAGCTCTGTGCTGACAGCTAGCTCAGAGCCTGGAGCCTTTTTCGGATTCTGTGTCTCCGCCTCTCTCTGACCCTCCCCTGCTCACACTATCTCTCTCTCCCTCTCCCTCTCCCTCTCTCTCTCTCTCAGAAATAAATAAAAAAAATTAAAAAATAAAATAAAGTATTCAGATTTGAGGGTCTTCTTGGGAAGACTGATTCAGTAAGTCTAGGGGAAATCCTGTATAGACATTTTGGCATAAATGCTGTGCGTGTGTCTCACTTAACTACTGTGATCACATACCTTCCTTTGGCACTTGTGTTTCGGCTCATGCTTTTCCAGCCTATAAATGACTTCAAATTGAAGTCATTTCTTTTTTTTTTTTTCATGTTTATTTATTTTTGAGAGAGACATACAGTGCAAGTAGGGGAGGGACAGAGAGAGAAGGAGACACAGAATCCGAAGCAGGCTCTGTGCTCTGAGCTGTCAGCACAGAGCCTGATGCGGGGCTCGAACCCACGAACTGTGAGATCATGACCTGAGCCAAAGTCGGGCGCTTAACCAACTGAGCCACCCAGGTTCCCCTATGTTTGTTTTTTTTAAGCAGCAAATCTGTTTTAAATTCTGGAAGGCAGTAAAATGAGGAACTTGGCTTTGAGACCTATTTTTCTGTTGATTAAAACAATCCTAAATCTGGAGGTGCCTGCGTGGCTCAGTCGGTTAAGCATCTGACTCTTGATTTCCGTGCAGGTTGTGATCTCATGGGTTCATGGGTTTGAGCCCTGCTTTGGGCCCTGCGCTTACAGTGCAGAAACTGTTTGGGATTTTCTCTCTCCCTCTCTGTCCCTCTCCTGCTTGTACACTCATGTGCTCTCTCTCTCTCTCTCTCTCTCAAAATAAATAAATTTTAAAAACCCAACAATTTTAAATCACAGTGGACCACTAGAGTGATAGTAAGAAGGACAAGATAGGGTTTTGCCCATGGGGCATCTGTACCATTTACAGTTTCTCGTGGGCTCTGCTTGCTTCTCCAAGAGTAAACCCAACTCACCGCAGTGATTCTTGTAATAGCAGCAACATCTCCTAGCTCTTCTTTTAACTGTTCATATGATTTCCCTGCCTGAAACAAAGAGACAGAAAACAGGACGAGGTGCTGCTTATGGGGGACTATACCTCAGGCCTAGGCTGTACCCTTAAGGGGAGCAAACAAGCCAAGGAGTCAGGGAATCAGAAACCACTGCAGGGGGAAGCACAGATAAAAATCCCCACTTCTGGTCCATGCCAGGCTGGAAGGTACTTAACATGATCTGCGCTCTTTGCTGGCGTTCCCTACCTCCGGATGAGACTGAAGACAGAGCGGTCGACCAGGAGTCAGACAACCTGGCTTCTTCCTATGGGTTAATTGTGACTTTAGACAAAACCCCTCCCTTCTAAGCCTCCTCGTTGATAACATGGGAAACAATGTTTGCCCTGGTGGTCAGGGTGGTTGTGAACCTCAAAAAGGTGGTGTGTGTGGATAAAGTTTATAAACCATTTATTACTTCCACGCACTGCTTGTTCCTGAGACAAGCTGTGAATTCTCTAACAGGACTTAGTGCCGTGGTGAGTGGCAAAGAGAAGGAAAGTAAAAAGCAGGGAGTTGGGAGGGGGTGGGGGAAATGTGGTCCTGGATTTACTCAGCCCTTGAGTCGGTACCCTGCTTTCCCACTGAGCTCTTGGCACCGAGCTCCCTGGTGGTAGGGATGTTCCCCCCACCCCCCTATTCTCCCTGTTCTTACACTCCAAATATGAGAGTCCCAGGCCAAGAACCATCCTGTGAAGGTGGGAGGCTCAAACCCCTGTTTAATGATCAGGATCGGTGTGTCAGGGTCTCGGCCACTGGGGTGAGTGTGCAGGTACTCCTCGGCCGTAGTGAGGGCTCTCTCCTTCTCTGTGGCATTGGCCTCAGCCCCAATCCACAAGAATACCTGTTGTGGTAGGAGTGGAAAATATTCATGTGCTTTTATTAAGGACAAGGTACCAGACCACATGGCCTGCCCTGTCTTCCCCGCCTCAGCAAATCACAGCCTCAGAGAACTTCCCCAGCTTACTTTGTTCAGCAGAGAGAAAGGTGTTCCTGGAATTTTATTTTATTTTTTTATTTTATTTTTTCCTGGAATTTTAAGTATACATGTACCTCCTAGATCTACATGTCCAGTCCTGAGCTCTCATTAAACTTCAGCTTCCTGGACCCAACTTCTTGGACACCCCCTCATGGTGGCCTCCAAGCAGCATGGGATAGAACACCCCCGAATGCAGCCCTTCTTTCTTAGACTTGTGTTTGTGTCTCCATTCTTGGTGAATGGAATCCATCCAGTCACCTAGGGCACTGGGAGTCATCCCAGATACCCCTGTGTCCAGCATTTGTCAAATCTGTCACCATCCCACCACCCCCGTACAGCCTGTGGTGGCTCTTACTTGACTGTTACAACTGCTCTCCTGACGGGCTTCCCAGTGCACAGTGCAGTGTCCTGCTGTCCCCCTCCGCCCGCCCCCGATCCCTCCTCTCCTACTTTCCAGAGCAGTCTGTCAAAAGCATAGTGACCAAATCACTCACCTGCTTAAATTTCAGTAGCTTTCCCGGATAAAATTCAAACTGGGCATGGTAGGTAAGGCCCACACCTACTTCTTAGCTTCATCTCTGACTCCTTAACTGTTGTGGGATTGTTGGTAGTTCCCTGTATAGACGATTCCCTTCAGTTCCTTGCTTCTCCTTGTGCTGTTTCCTTTGCCCAGGAGGCTCGCTCTACCTCTCTACCTTGCCTACTTGTCCTTTGAGATTCAGTGTGGGAGCCATCTCTTCTAGAGAGTCTTCTCTGAGCCCCTAAACTGTGTTGCATGTGCCTAATTCGTGCTCCTATGGCACCTCCTATCTCCATCACGGCAAAATGATGTTTCTACATCCAGCTCCTCCATCGGTCTGTAAACTCAGAGCAGGGCCCCTGCACCTTGGTGACGCTACACCAACCACAGGGACTGGCATGAAGGAGGGGCTGAGTATGTTTGCTGAGCTGAAGAAAACAGGATATTGGGGAGGGCTTGCCTTGAAGATCCCCTTTACACCCCTATATTCCCTAAAAGGCCCATATCTCTCTGAGTGTGGATCCTGTTGCTGTTGATCTTGAGAGAAGCGCATGATGATAATATGGCCTGATTTTCTCAAGCAAGGTGGGAAAATCCCCAACGCGGGAGTTCTAAACAGCCTTCTGGTTTCTTTATCCCTGGCAAAAAGTGGGCTCTTCCTTTGTTTACCACTGGCGAATGTTTGGCTGACTTGGGGCCGGGCCAGGGCTACCCTGGGTTTATTGTTGGCAGGGGAGACACTATCCAAAAAATAGCCTAAACTGGGGGCATCTCTGCCTCTTGTTCCAAGTTCTCTGGCTATGTCTTACCTGGTCCCAGGTGTCCAGGAGCATCACATCACCTGGGTTCAGGTCATCCTGGGTGAAGTCTGTGACCTCAGTGACAACAAACCGCCCTGTCTTATTGGAACATTCAAAGAGACGGGGCTGCACGTCTAGGATTTCCTGCTGGAGTCTGCAATACAGTCCGTTTGGAGGAACTGAGCGACTTCAAAATCAGACTTTTACAACGGAAAGGCATCCTAGACTTCATGCAGTTCCCAAGCCTGGGCAGCAGGGGGAGCCCAGAGGAGAGGGCGCTGTGTTCCCCTACCTTTTGTCATTGGCATAGGCGGTCTTCCCTCCAAGCAGGTCCCAGAACTCAGCCGGCTCCTGGCCCTCGGCCACAGTGTCCTCTGTGCCCTCGCAGAGAAGGCTGGCCAGCTCCTTGGCCATTGCCCGCTCATCCCCACTAGACCCCTGTGTGGGGGGAGGAGAGGATGGGGATTGGTCACACATAGACACGTTGATGTGGGGGGCAAAGCCAAGCTGAGAGTGTCCTGGGCTCAGCTACCAAAGCCACAGTGCTTTAGAATGGGGAGAGAGGTTTGTTCTAGTGCTGGGAGAGGAGGAGCGGTGGGGGACGGGGATGGCAGGAAGCGCAGAGAGGAAAGCAGTGTGGTGGCAGAGGGCAGGACCAGACCCTGAAACCCACAGCAGGTGTCGGCAAGAGTCCCCTTGGTTTTGGCTTTGCTTGGAATTTCAGCACCTACTTTGGATTCTTTTTTAAGAGAATAAAATTAAATTTGAAAAATTACATTCAAGAAAATTCACTCTTTTTGGTGTACACTTCTAGGAGTCTTGACAAACACACAGGATCATGTCACCACCATCAAAACGGAAGGTCTAGAACATGTGCCTCAGCCCTGCCAAAAATTCCCTCGAGCTACCCCTTTTGTGGTCAGTCACTGCCCACGATCTTAACCTCTGGTAACCTTTGGTCTGTTCTCCCTCACTACACTTTTGCGTTTTCCAGAACGTTAAGCATGGAATCCCGCATTGTAGAGCCTTTGAGGCTGGCTTCCTTCACTTAATACAGTGCATTTGAGATTCACCTTCGTTGTGAGCATCGCCAGCTTTTTTCGTTGTATTGCCGAGAAGTATTCTAATGTATGAATATACTGCTGTTTTCATTTTCTAGGTGAGTTGCTTCCAATTTTGGGTGCTAGCGAATAAAGGTGGTGTATGTATATTTGTGTGAAGGTAGTTTTATTATCTCACATGGGTATATACCCAGGCATGGGACTGCCGGATCATATGCGTGTGTTTTATTTTATCTTATTTTTTTTTTTTAAATGTTTTTTATTTATTTCTAGGAGAGAGAGAGAGAGAGAAAGACAGCGTGAGTAGGGGAGGGTCAGAGAGAGAGGGAGTCACAGACTGAAACAGTCTCCAGGCTCTGAGCTGGCAGTCAGAACAGAGCCCGACACGGGGCTCGAACCCACGAACAGCGAGATCGTGACCTAAGCGAAAGTCGGTCGCTTAATCGACTAAGCCACCCAGGCGCCCCATATGCGTGTGTTTTATAGGAAACTGTCAAATTGTGTCTCAAAGGCTATATTTGCATTGCCATCAGCAAAGCCCACGAGTTCCCATTGCTCTGCATCCTTATCTGCACTTGGTATTGTCTCCTTTTTTTTTTTTTTTTTTTTAAGCCCTTCTCCTAGGTGTATAGTGGCATCCCTGGGATTGTCACTTGCACTTCCCTGGTGACTGTGGTATTGAGCATCTTCTCCCGTTCAGTACTTTTTTGTAAAACAATTTTAGTGCTTTTGAATGTAGAAGCAATCTGAAAGGACAGAATCAAGGTTCTAGTGCCTCTGTTAATGTTAATGCCTGTCCTCTTACAACCCACCAGACTGGTGTGGAAAGATCGACTTATCCAGCCTCCACCTGTGTAGAAGTTTATGGCGTGTCTCCTGGATGTGAGCAATGCTGTCAGTGAGCTTGTAACTGTGGGAAACACTGGCAGTCCCTTTGAAGATCCTTTAGGGAAAGGCTCCTCTTCCTGAGGACTGCTCCGGCCTACTGTTTAGTCCCTCTGGCCTTGCCAACAGGAAGGAGGGCCCAGGGCTGGGCTCCAAGGGGCTGGTGTGTCCGGCGGGCCCAGATGTCTTACCTTGCCATACCACAGGTAGTGTTCTGCTTGGGCCCGCAGCAGAAAGACATCATTGGAGTTCAGGGAGGAGGCGAAAGCTGGAACCTCTACTGCTTTGGTGTTGGATTTGTCGTGGCCTTGAATCTGGAAGAGTCTTACTGGAGGGTCGGGCCCAGCGTTTCCCTTTCTGGAAGTCCCACCCTAGAGAGGAGAAGAGCAGAATCTGGTTCTCAGGAGCACCACATGAGCAGAGCTCTGAGCTCACCGCTGTAGAGACCGTGGGTGAATTTAATACTGCTTTTGCCCGTGGGGAGCTGCCATGCAAACGGAAAGAGGCCAGGCACACTGCAGTCATGGAGCCAATAATATTAGCACCCACTCTGAGACTTTTATTATATGTTAGGCTCTGTGGCTGGCGCCTTACCTACATTGTTTCACAGAACCTCATAATAACTGTGTGAAGTAGGTATTAGTGTCCTGTAGTACAGGTGGGAAAACAGGCTTAGCAGTCTGGTTAATAAATGACAAGGCCAGGACTTGACCACAGGGTTGTGTGATATCAAGCATATAGCATTATACATTCCTGGTATTGCTTCTGCCGGAGCTTCAGGGAAGAAGTGGGACTTGAGTTTGAAAGGGCACGTCCAGTGGGGGAGGGAGGGTTGGATGTGGCGGTCTAAAGGATGTGGACATGAGGTCTAATGAGGAGACTCACCTCACTGAAGTGAAATGTGTAGGTTAGGGAGCTGAGGGTAATGCACCTCCAGAGGTAATATGGGTCAGATTATGAAAGACCTTGAACATTATTAATAGGGCAGTGGTTTGGACTTGAAGCCCTAGGCAGTCAGGACTCACTTGAATGGCTTGGAGAGATTAACCCCCTTCTTCTTTTTTAAAAATGTTTATGGGGCGCCTGGGTGGCTTAGTCGGTTAAGCATCTGACTTTCGCTTAGGTCATGATCTTGCGGTTTGTGGGTTCGAGCCCCGCGTCGGGCTCTGTGCTGACTACCAGCTCAGAGCCTGGAGCCTGTTTCAGAGTCTGTGACTCCCTCTCTCTCTCTGACCCTCCCCTGCTCATGCTGTCTCTTTCTCTCTCCTAGAAATAAATAAAACATTAAAAAAGTTAAAAAAAAATTTTATTTTTGAGGGAGAGAGAAAACACAAGCGGGGGAGGGACAGAGAGAGAGAGGGAGAGAGAGAATCCCAAGTAGGCTCCATGCATTGAAAGTGCAGAGCCCGATGTGGGGCTCAAACTCAAGAACTGTGAAATCATGACCTGAGCTGAAATCAAGAGTCAGACACTTAACGGACCGAGTCCCCCAGGCGGTCTAAGATTAACCCTCTTCTTGTGGGTTAATCCCTTGTCTGTGTCTACCCCAACCCTGGTCTCCATCCCTCCTCTCCTATACGGTAGCCTCCTGCTGACTTGTTAGTTCGGAGCATTCCTGCTCATGGTGTAATTTTACCTGAGGGTTCTCACCTCAAAGATAACTAGCTTCCCTTTGAAGATGGCCATGAAGTGGCGTGGCTCCTTCCCCATGGTGACTCGAACCTGCACAGGGGCCCCATCAAACTCCTGATCCACCTCCACGGCCTGGTACGCCGAGGCTGCCAGCTCATCCTTTGAGGCGTGGCGGCCCTGCAGTGGTTAGAGGGGGAGGAATGGGTCCCCACCATGCCTTGCCACCACACAGGGGCCAGAGGAAGTATCAGGACCCAAAGCCAAGAGCCTGCTTCAGGCCTACCTGCCAGATGTACAAGATGTAATGTGGCTTCCCGTTCACCTCATATGTGTAGAGAACCAGATAGCAGTCTCCCCCGTAAAAGAAGCCATGCCACTGACGCTCCACAGGGACCAGCTCCAGGTTTTCAATTCTCCAGACCTGGGCACAGAAGGAGACATAGTTGCCCAGGGACGGGGCTCCTATCTGAAGAGACAGCTGCCTGAAGGGAATTGGGCCATGCTCAGCAGAGAATGCAACAGGTAAGGCACTACCATCCACTGAAAGCACGCCTTCCCTCCCTGGTTCTTCTTTCCTCGGCGCGAGGACTTATCACACTTGCAGGATCTGAATCCCAAGAAGAACTGGATCGTTCCTGCCCAGGTACACCCCCATAATGGCTCGGGGATGCTTTGAATTTATCTGTCAGGTGAGTTACTGATAGCACACTGGGGTTTCAGCCTCTCGCATCCCTGAGGAGTTGTGGGAAAGCTTTGCAGACCCAGACACCTCTTAGAGACCCCTCCTGAGGCGCCAGAGCCAGAGCAAAGCAGACCCAGGACCACCCGCTCCCTCCTCTCCAGCGGAACAGCTGGGAGGGCCAGCGCCGCCTGGCCTGAGGTGCGAATCACTGACTTACCTCAACTTTTCCATTGCCGTCATCAACCATTCTTTCCTGGGCAGCTACCTCCGGCTTGGTGTGCAGCAGGGTCACATCAAATTTATCCTGGAAAACTTTAGCTGCAGAGGAGGGGTTGGGAGAAGCCAAGTGAGTGAAAAGCACCCACGGCCGCCTTTCTAGAGAGTCCCAGCCATGAGAAGGCGACCTGAGGAGCAGTCTCACCGATTCTACCAATGCCAAATGTTTTCCCCAGGCCGGTGGTCTGGTCCTTCACTGACCACTTCTGGAACAGCTGCTTAAACATGGCCGACTCAGCCCCGTCATTGATGGTCTCCACGTTGGTGCTGCCAGGGTAGCCCTTCATCTGGATGAAGTTCTGCAGACACCCCCACCCCCCGTCCCCGAAAGGCAGGTCAATCAGGGAATACTCCGGCATCTTTGCTTGGCTGGTGCCTCACCCCTTTGAAGCCAGCTGATAGGATTGCTCCCTTCTGGGAGTCAGAGTCAAATCCTAACTCCCTTATGTGTAGGGGCCAAGTTACCTGCCTCAAGGAAAGGACTGAGGGAACAGTCCAAGTATCTCTTGATTGGCCTGTCATGATGATGACTAATTTTTTTTTTTTCAAGATCCTCTATACTATGTTTTCACGGCACTCACGTAGTCTACTGATTTTGTGTCATATTCATTTGCTCACTTACTGCTTTGTGAGTGCATCCTGCTGGGTTCATGTGCATGGGTCTGCACAGTATCATAAGCTTCTTGAGGACAGGGCTGTCAACCGTGGTAGCACATTCCCTTCGAGAATAGCAGCCGCATTTTCTGAGCCGGTGTAGGGGCCAAGTACTGTTCTAAGTGCTTAATCATCAGAACACCAGGAGATGTGTATTAAACCTGGACTTGAATCCCAGCTTGTCTGTCAGACTGAAGTCCACGTATGTGACCGTGATGTTCTATGCTCACGTTCCTAGTATGGCTACACATCTGAAGTAAAACTACCAGAATTTTTTGGACAATACCATACACCTGTAGCTCCTACCAGGGCTTTAGACATGGCCGTCTGTTTCTCAATCTTTGTGGCTCCTCTTCCTTTCCACACATAGATCTTGGTTCCACTTTGGTCTAAGATGTAGCAGTCCTGAAGCAGTCGGGGACAAGAGTGGTTACTGCTGCTGAGGACCATAGGGAAGATCTCTGAAGCCGGGTCTGGCCACAGGAGCCATGCCCACCCGAGCTCTACTTACATCATGGTTCAGTAAATCCTGGACCAGTGGCCTTGTTGCTACCTCCGTGACCTCCAGCTGCCCAGCTGAGTCTGAGACCCTGGAAAAGGGGAGAAATTAGCTGTGTCTTCCCTTCTACAAAGCGTCTGATAGCCAATTTGATATTTTTGCTGGCTTTGTTTTAGGATGGAGTTTCTGGGTATAAATTCTGACTTCTTCCAACAGGCGTGGCTAGAATGCAGGTAAGAGTGTAATGGACTCTGTTGTCTAGAAGACTTCTGTGCATCCCTCTCCCCAAGATTATCTGCTCCACATCCCCGGGCATGTATGGACCCAAGTAAAGGAAGAGTCTCCTCAAGAGACCAGGAGGGGTGGCTGACAGGAAGAGACAGTAGCTACTTCCCTGAATGGGGAACACTGAGCTCCATCTAGAAGCTGCATATGAAAAGGTTAAAAGAAAGCCAGATGCCCGTACCCAAAATGAGGAGCCAAGCACGGGTGCTTGGTTTTCTGGGAGATATCTTCCCCTTACCCCGGCTTCCAACCAGCGTCTAGGCTTAGTTACTCACTGATACAATATGATGTTTGATTTCTGCTGCTGATCTATGATCTCATCGGGGACTGCAGGCTTGATAATGGGGCGTTGGCCGAGGGTGTCCTGAAGGACCTTCATCAGCTCCGGACTTGCTGCCTCCTTGTCTCCCTCGATCACACCTATTTCAGCACGGCCCCCTCGCTCCCTGTCCCGAATATCCTTTGCCAGAAGCATAGCCTATCAAAAAAGCCCAAGGAAGCAGTCAGCCCTTCCAGGTCCCCCTCTGCACCTGCTGGCTTTGGGAGGAGCAACCCAGGTCCCAGACACAGGGGTTATTCTGATGCTTGGGACCCTGGGGTGAGCCACAGACTCACGCATTTGGCCTGTCTCTGAAACAGATTCTACTCAAAGGCAGGGGTCTGCCTTACATCTCAAGGGAAGAGCGAGTGGAAGAAGGAAGAAGGAAAAGGCAACAACAACAACAACAAAAAGGAGGGAGGCGCCTGGGTGGCTCAGTCGGTTAAGCGTCTGACTTTGGCTTAGGTCATGATCTCACGGTTCATGGGTTCAAGCCCTGTGTCAGGCTCTGTGCTGACAGCTAGCTCAGAGCCTGGAGCCTGCTTTGGATTCTGTGTGTGTTTCTCTCTCTGATCGTGCCCTGCTCACACTCTCTCTCTCAAAAATAAATAAAACATTAAAAAAATTTAAAAAACAGAAAGAAGAAAAAGACAACTGAGAGAGTGCAAGCCCCAGAAACCATACCTTCAGGCGCTCTCCACTGTTGCTCTCTGGGCCATTCCATTGGATGATGACCTTACCAAGGTCCAGCAAGAAGACATCGCCTTGGTTAAAACTGTCCCAGCTCATTTCCACCTGCAGGTGAGAAGCAGACATCGTCCAGGAGGCATTCTTAGGTGCCAGGTGGAGCAGATAGCCAATGGGTAGGACTTACCTCGGTGGCCCTGATGTTTCTTTTCCCCTTCACGTGTAGCAGTCGCTTCACGTCGTAGGTGTTGGTCTCCACATGCTTCATCCCAGAGGCCACACCCCCCTTCTTGTAGCTGAGGGAACATCCAAATAACACCTGGTTACTTACTGAGCACCTACCGTGTGCTGGGTTTGGGGGGACCATTGTAAATTCCACAGTTTTGACCTTTGCCCATAGAGGCGATGACAGGATGTGGGTGATGGTCACAGCTGCCACAGAAGTAGACTAAGTGAGGGGGCACCAGGGTGGCTCAGTTGGTTAAGAAGTAGACTGAGTGATAGATTTTTTGGTGGTCAGGCAGTCTTCTCTGAAGGAACGGCATTCAAGCTAATGTATTAAGAGGGATAGGACCCCACAAAACAGAGGGCTGGGGTTCTAGAGGGCCCATCAGTGGTGAAGACTGTAGCCTGAGCTCGTTTTGTTCTAGCAACTGTCTAAAGATCAGTGTGTGACAAAGAAAGGGGTGCAAGTTGGGCAGTAGCAGAAGCCTCAATGACACTATGGCCTTAAGAAAAACCCTCTCCAGGCATCAGTCCTCCTGTCCCAGGTGTTTATACCAACCTGGCCTCCATCCCAGGCGTCCTGCACCTGAAGGGCATGAAGAAAGCCACCGTGGGGCAGAAGGTTTGTCTTTGGGCTCCCTGGTGCCACCTTGTGGTGCTTTGTGCCCAGCTGACCCTTAGTCAGTGGGGACTGCCAGCCTGCCAGAGGCGAGCCTTGGACCAGCCTCAGGTTTCTCCCGCTTGTTTGAATTCCTCTTTTTGTTTTTAATCTCAAGTGAAAAGTTTTGAGTTAATTAAACTCCTCTGTTCATGGGACATTATTATCACTGTCCTTTACAAGACCCCTCTCTCGTTTTCAGTATTAATGCATTCCCTTTCATCTGCATCTGCTCACCCATTCCTCTCCCTACCACAGTCATCCCTTCTAACAGTTCAACTATCTTCTGTTTTTCATTCTGGTAAGCGTGTCCTGGTGTATGGTGGGCGTATATTTTTTAAAAACGGAAACTGGCATTGTTATGTATTTCAAGTCTCTGTCTTGGTTCACTGAGCACCGTGGCTTTAAGACCCGCCCACACGTTAGGGGTGTGTCTGATCCATTGTCTCCCGCCGCCACACGGTGCTCCTTGGCATCATGGAGTATTTCTCCACTCCTGTCTCCCAGTGGTGGGCACTCTATACTGCCTACAGCTTCACCCCACCCTAATGACACTACTGTGGACATTCTGGTTCGTGAGCTCTTGTGGACCCGGGTACATGAGAAGTCTTCTGAGTCAGGCACCCAGAAGTGGGATATGCCTCGGTGGCAGCAGACTGCTCTCCAGAACGCTATGCCGGTCCTCCCACCGGTGCGGCACGAGGCCGATTTCTCCACGGCCTTGCCAGCGCTTGCCACCAGCCGGCACTCTCATCTGGCCTGCTCTGACAGCTGAAGTGATAGCTTTGTTTTGATTTGCATTTCTGGGACTCTTCATGTACTTATTGGCCCTTTTGGTTTCCTGTTGGGTAAACTGACACTTATGTCCTTGCTCCAGCATAACTACTCACACGATGCCCTGCTTGAAGTAGCCTTGGAAGGTGTCAGACTCATGGTACTGGACCTCCCGGTGTTGCACGGGGCCACCCCCCAGGTAGTCATCCAGCTGCGTAGTGTAGATGGCTGCGCAGCTCTGCTCGTCCTGGGAGGAGTCCTTCCCGATCCAGAAGTGGATGTTCTGGGAGAGGAGACTGCCCACTCTCCGTGTCTGGAATGTCCAGAGAGATGGGGTCAGGGGCCAGCTCACCCCTCCGCCCCCGCTCTGCTGCTGGCCTCTCCGGTGTGGGAAGGACATAGCATATGGTGGCTTGTGTGCCGCCCTAGGCGGGCTCGGGGCCCCTCTCCCTGCCTGCAGTGGCCTCTGTGCAGACCTGCTATGTGGCTCAAGCTCTGGCAGCCCACGTCCCTCCCACGTTGGGGGCAAGTTGACAGCTTCCTGTTCTCAAACTACATGGAGACCAGTGAGGAGCCTTTGCAAGGCAGGGTGCAGACTTACCCCGCTCCCCCCTGCACCTGCACAGCTGGCCTAGCGCTGCTCTGTCCATATGCGTGGCTCTGTTAGCATCATTCTTGTGGGATACTGTTTCCTCAACTAGAACGGGCACTTTGAGGCATGGCCTTATATTCACCCGGCCTTCCTCCACACCACTTTAATGTGGGGTCTGAGCCCCGGGAGGGAGAAGTGCTGCTTGTGGGCTACCCGCTGAGGTTCCGACTGAGGGCCCCATCCCCTAAGAGCGTCCTTTGATAGTCACACTGGAGGCCTGTTCTGTGCAGTACCGAGGAGGGACCAAGACCGATGCCAGGGACCTGATTAGCGCCAGCAGCAGATCTCGGTGGGACCCAGGAACCGGCGCTCGGCGGAGAAGCGCATGGGAATAGGCAAACGGTGCTCACCGAGAGGATGACGTAGCAGTCCCCCTCATAGAAGGTGCCATGGGCGCTCAGGGGCACTAGCGCCAGCTCCAGTTTCTGGAAGGACAAGGGCTGTGTGTAGTCTGCAGTCCACCCCGCCCATCCGGCCTCCCTCTCCTCTCCATCATTTGGCACAGGTGGCAGGAGAGAGGTAGGGGAGATGTCCCCATGGATCCTATGGGGCGTGGCGGCCAGCCACAGGATTAGCGCTCCCCCGCCCCCGCCGATTCTGCCCAGCCCCACCTGCGTGGCCCCAGCTCTGAATCTGGGTCCCCACCTTCACCCCATCCTCCTCCCCATCGCCTGCTTGGTCTCATCTCACTGTACTGTGAGGGGCCTTGTGAGCCACCTCCAGCCCTTTGCAGGCAAGAGCTGGATATAAGCTGGCAAGGGAAGTCCTACCTCGGAGCAGCCGCACCAGTGCCCCTAACACTGTTCTCCAGCCCTGACCACCCAGTGCTGGCCACGGCCTGCAAACAACGTGGGGATACCATGGGGCGGGGGCAAGTGAGGGCCCGCAGCGCAAGGAGCTCCGTGCCCAGAGTTCGGTACTGGAGTCTGGGGTGGGGGCCGATTTGCCCCCTACACATGTGGCTTGTCCCAGGAGAGCCACGCACCTGGCTTCACACGTGCATTTCCGTCACTCTCTCCAAGTGACGCAAACCTGCCGTCATACTTGTGCGTGTTCTATACAGAATGTGCGCGTTGAATATAAACATGCTAACTAGACCGTAATTTTGGTAACTTTTAGTACCTAATTTGAAACAAACAGGGAGCCTTAAGCACTCTGGGTTTTCTGCAGCAGCCCCTCTCTGGGCTCAGAGCAGGGACATGGGGGCGCGGGGAGGGGGTCTTTACATGTGGCAGGTGGGGCTGCCTGGGTCAGGGCTGTTCCCAGCCACAGACTGTTGGAGCTTGAGCTCAGCTGGAAGGGCTCGAGCCCCAGGAGTAGAGAGGGGCCGAGGAGCAACCCTGCCCCCTAGCTCCCCTCCCACTTGGCAGGAGCCAGAGTGCCCGGTGGAAGGTGGAAGACAGGTTCTGTTTTTCCAGACGGAAGCAGCCAGGAGTCCCGGGTGGGCCGGGTGGGCCCAGGCCACACCCATCTCTCCAGGGCATTTACGGGAAGTGCAGACTCACTGAGCAGATGGCAGGATAAAGGGCGAGCTTATTTTTGCTTGGAGCCCTGCTCTCCAGGGCTGAAAGCATTTCCTTCACCTGCTACCACCTGCTTTGAGCACCCAGGAGGGGTCAAGGATAGGAAAACCGTGCGCTCCGATGCCGCCCCCTGCTGTTGCCAAAGGCAGGAGACTCGGGGTGCCAGAGGGCAGCCCGCGTATGGGGAGGAAGGTGTGCCCCCAGCTCACCTCTATCCTCCAGGTGATGATCCCTGGCTCGTTGCCCACAGCCCTGAAGGCGCTGCTCAGAGACATGGTGCTCGTCTTCCCAAGGCTGCAAGGTCACAGAGTGAGCAGGGGAGATGGGGCCCCTCACACAGGCACCCGGCTTTTCCCCTAAGTCATTTCCTAGCCTCCCAGTCATCCTGCCACGTCCTCGTGGTGCGCCGTGCCGGCCTCACGGCGATGGGGGAGACTTGTCCAAGTTCACGCTGTAAGCCTGGCTGGCCTGGGGGTCCCCACCCAGGTCTGCCTCCCCTCTTGCCACTTCACTTGTCAAGAGCTGTGGTACGAGCCACAGTTATTTACTGGAGGGCTCATAAATACGTTAAGCCCGGTGTTGGTTCATGGTATGTCATTTAATTCCTATACATGGAGTATATTTTCTTCATCTTATATTGTGGGCAGTTGGTGTTTGGAGCGGTTAAATAATTTGCCTGATGTCACATAGAGTGAAATCCATATCTGACCCTAAAACATATGCTTTATAGTCACCTTGATGTTGTGTAACCCTTCCTGAACTTACCTTCCTTTAGTGGCACATGGGGAGAAAAGCTTACGTCAGAATATTTCCAAGCTGGGCTGCCTTTTCTCCCTCATTCCTTCCAGCTCTTTCCTGAGCTCATGCTTGCCAGGTCCTCTGCGGGGTCATCTCTCTGACTTTCTCATGGGGCTTTTACTTTCCAGACTTTTCTAAGTAAACTATCCTAAAACTCGAACAGCCTGTCTTGCTTTTGTCCGATGACTAATATGTTCCCTGGGCCTCGCAGAAGAGGGAAAGTAAAATGGCAGAGGTGGGCGGGGGGTGGGGGCAGAGTTTGGGGAGCCAGCAGGGCAAAGCTGGGTGGCCGGGTCTTCCTGGGGGCAGATGCCCTCCTTCCCCCTCCCACACAGACCGGCAGGAGCCAGTGGTTCAGTCGCTGCCCACGAGGCAGGGTGGGGACAGGGAGGAAGTGGTGAAGTCAAGTCCGGGTGGATGGGGCACCATCTGTATTCAAGGCGTGTCTAGGGTTATCAAGCACCCACACACAGGCATGGTCACACAGGGGTTTTATATAAATAAAATGCCTGCCTGTTGTCTGGTTCTTGCTCTCAAGGTGCTTGCATTCCAGTTATATGTATAACCGATGAATGCTCTCAACAGGCAAAGGGAAAAAGATGTGCCCGATGGATTTACATTAAGTCAAAAAACAAACAAAAACAAAACAACCCACCCAGAAAGGGCCGGATGGAGTTCTGCTATTTGGAGGCATACTGTGCTTGGGAAGAGGGCCATGTCTGCCCATTCTATCCTTGAGCCTGGGTGGATGAAGCCAGGTTTGGACAGTTTGTGCCATTATGTAGTATGGACTTTGACCAAAGTGCAAAAAACACACAGCCTCAGACTCCCTTTGTGTACCACCATAGCCAGACTAAGGCAGAGCACAGACCCAAAGCAGTGACGTTGGAGGCTTTCACTGGATAACTCGTGCTGCCCCACCCACCCGGGGCTGCTCAGACTGCCAGGCAATGTTTGTTCAGGTTTTCTTCGGACCCTAGATTTCATGCATTAAAGGCAAATGCCATGACCCAACTAGGTGAAGGGGACAAGGGCCCGTGATTCATGCCTTGAAAACAGAGAAGTTTCAACCTGGTAGAACCAGCATTCATTAGGGCTGGGGGTCTGAGAGGCCAAAAGCAGTCCCATTTCCCAGCAGGGACTTAGCAACAGGGAAGGAGTTCGCTGGGCCAAGGTCCCCCACCTAAGGAGAGGGAGTGCTCAAAGAAGGGACTTCCTGCCCCACTAGGACACCCAGAAAAGTTGACGGGGGGGCTGTGACACTGAAGTCCCCCGAGGCTCAATCTCTCTCTCCCTCTTCACCAAGTCCTTATTTGTTAACTCAGCACTTTTGAGGCCCCTGCAGAAACCCTCGGGGTGGGGCGCGATTTTGAAGCCTAGGCTAAAAGCCAGCGGCCCTTAATTCACAGATACCCCTGTGAATGGAGCCCAAGCAGAGGAAGCTGGTTCTAACTTCTGCCTTGGCGCCCACACCATCTTTCCGAGAGAGAGCCAAAAGGGGTAGGCTCCACATTTCCCAGCTTTTGAAAACAGTGCTCTGTTTGGTGGTTTCTAACATGGGCCTTAACTTCTCAGCAGGAAGTTTGCAAAACTCATTACAAACTCCTGGTTGATTCCTTTAAAAGCCTCATCCAAGAAGACAAAGGAACAGAAATTTCGATCTCCTCTCCCTTTTGTGTCTTCCTTTTTCAGTAGGATTGCTCTACAGATGGACACTCACACCCCCAATAGACCTTACCTTGCCTTCTCTCCCACAGGTCTTCCCGGTGTTCTGGCGAGAAAGTAGCAGCAGTTCCGGAGAACCAACCCAAACCAAGAGGCGCCAGGTCCCGCTGCCTTAGCCTAGTAATGGCTGCACAGACACTCCCTTATATTTGCTTGTGTTTGCATCTTAACCTCATTTTCCCAGTCCTGGCCAATCACCGCCAACCTAGCCCTGGGCTTGACTTATTCAAACCAGAGGGGAAGCTTTATCTGTTCCTATTCAAAACAGCAGAAAGAGCAGACTTTTAAAGGCTTCTTTTCTCTTTTAACTCCAGCTCCACGCCCTGATCTAATTGATTTTTTTAAAAGTGCATCGCCCATCAATAATGCAGGAAAGAGGGTGGGAGGATCTGAAATTTGCTGTACTGTAGATACGGATGCATTATGCTGATGACAGGAGATGGGGGCCAGAGCTGCCCCTTGAGTGCCTGTGATGTCCAGGCTGGCAACTGCCTCCCAGAGAAGCTTCTGGGCATTTCTCAGAGGGAGGGAAGTCTGGGAGAGGGGCGAGGAGTGTGTTATATTAGGTCATCCTGTTTTGCTCCTTAAGGTCTCCCTTGGTGTCCATACAGCGGTCCTATCAATATTGGAGTGCCTAGTATGTGCCGAGAACCATGCTTGACTCCAAGATGATCCTGGTTTGGGAGAATCAGTAAGGGACAAGGGATAATCAGGGACATGTGACAGTCAGTAAGGGGCAAGACTCCCAGTCCCTCGGGGCTTCCAGTTCACCCTCAGAAATCAATAGGGCACCGAAGCGTATGATTATTACGCACCTGGATGGCAATGGAGTTGGTTCCAAACGGGGGCCAGGAAAGAACTACCGTAGCCAGACTGTGGTAACCTTGAGCAGAAGCCCAGTGCGGAGTCTGCAGCTGGCCTCCCAGCCGGAGGCAGCCGCTCGGCCAGCCTGGGCGCGCCGGCTTCGGCGTGACAGGAGGGGTTGCGAGGAAAGAAGGGCCTGCCTGCTAAGTGCCCACATGAACAACAGCAAGGTCAAGAAGCAGCTCCCATTCCTGGATGGGTTTTTTAAACCCAGTTTTATTAATTAATTGTAAGTAATACAAATATTCCAAAAATATAAACAGACACTTAATGGCGTCCTACATTTCAAGTTTTTGAATACAACAAATTTATCAAACCATGAATCTGTAAGCAAGGTAGTCAGAGTCCCATAGCCCAGTCACAGTGGGAAGCAGATGCCCAAAAGGCACCTTGAGGGGGAACGTGGCATGACGTGGAATGTGTCACACTTGGGGTACAAGCGAAGCTCATGGGGCCCAAGGAAGGTCTGCTCTGGGGATGAGCCCTACGCGGGGCATAGGACGGTAGGCCAGACCTCTGCCTTCCCTCCCCTGCTCGGATGCAAATATCTATCGGCGTTTGAAACAAGAAAAAGATAAAATGAACTCCATTTTACAGAAAGTGATTGAAGAACAACAGTGGTAACAAATGGAAGACCTGAAGGGGAAAATAGGCTTCCCTTTCACGGACACTTGGCCGGGCTGGGAATGGGATGGAGGACAGCCTTCTGTGGGGGCTGCCCTACTGAAGGAAGCCTCAGGAACAGGGCAGGGGGAGCAGATTTAAATGGGATCCGTTTCCCAGGGAATGACTGCCTTTATACACTTCCCATGCTTTTAGCACAAAGATGCTTCTGGGCCACTGTTTATCGAGGTGAGTTTATACACTTACAAAATGGTCAAAACCTTTGGGAGGCAGGAGGGAACTAAACAGAAGGTCCCGGGTTAACGGAAGGCAAATGTACTCAACCTTTCCACAGTAAGGGACCCATGGGCCTACAGAGCGGCCCCTCTACAATGTGCAGAGTGGCAACTCTTACCTTGACCGTTTCCAGACTGGTCCTGTGTCCAAAGCTCCCCCTATGAGAGGGACACGAACATCAGGCTTTTGATTTAGAAGCCCAATCAGAGAGACACACGGTGTCCCTGAAGAGGCACCTTAAAGAACTGAACCTGGCAGTTGGGCAGATTCCTGGCATGGCTTGGACTGGGGCTGATCAGGCACAGTGGCCTCCTGAAGGCAGCCTCAAGCAGGAAGGGCTGATGGGAAGCCCCGGAACACATCCCAGGCTGAACGGGCTCCCTCCTGACCTTGTCCTCCTCCAAAATGGAGTCCTGCCTGATTCCTCTAAGGAGCAAGTTTTGCAATCATCACCTGCCCCTAACCCACTGTGGAACTGGAAACCAGACAGCAAATGACTTCAGGCTGGCTCTGGTTCACGTGGATGGACCCTGTGCAGGTTTATTTGGCCGAGTCGCTTCTCTGCAGACGACAAGAGAAGGGGGATAGTGGGAAGATGGTATTTCTGTTGAGGAACCGCAGGTGGGCAGGACAGGGTTCCGACGGGAACAAAGCCTGTAGGGTAGGGGCCTTACACAGAAGCAGCAAAGACACCCCCCACCAGGCTATCCTGGGCTCTGGTCCTGAGTCCCACTCGGAGCATCTGGATCGGCCTGACAGGAAAGGGGGCGGCACAGGCTCCTCCTTCACCTGGAAAAACACAGACGCCCAAAGGAGGGCAGAAAGGGTCCTGGGAACTGGATCAGCTTAGAGCTGCTTATTGCTTAGTCAGAAAAGCTTGGCTGGGCCCGGATGGCAGATTTGGCCCAGAGCTAACACTTAGGCTGGGGCTTGGGGGAGAGAGACCTCACGGTATCAGGACAGAAGCCGAGCCAGGGCCTTAGAATCAGAAGCTCCCATCTCCCCTCAGGAGGTACCAGTGCTGGCTGGCAAGGGAGCCCTCTTTCCCTACCTGCAGGCCCCCAGGGGCACCGGGGAAGGGTACTGGCGGAAAGGACCACATGAGCTTTGGGGACTCTACTCCACTTCTGTGATACCAAGGGGGAAAGACCAGGCCTTACAACCCCGGAACAAGGAGTGGTGGTTGGTAGCACGACGCCAGAGAAAGATGCTAGTCAGCCCAGAGCCACTCAGAACACCAAGCTGCTGCTCTACTGCCCGCTCTGCTCAAAACTGGTCAATCCCGCAGGCTGGACCCTGTGTGGACACTGAAAAGGGGGCAGGGAGGAGTCCTGAGTGGGGGGTGTCCTCACGCCTGAAGCAACTCACAAACGCTCCATGACACCTGCCTGCAGGGAAAACAGGGCTGGGGAGGGGAGAGGAACTCCCTCCTGCCCTAGAAGGAGGGAGAAGGGAGGGGAGGCCATGATTAAGGCAGTGACGCTGAGGTGGGGCTCCCTTTTGGGGGGGAGCCCCTTGTGCTCCCAATGCCAGCAGCACTTCCCCTTCTGTTTTCCCTTCTCAGGAAACTTCCATTCTGTGGCTTTTTTTTTTTTAAAGCATTCACTATTGAGCAGCTCTGAAAGCGAGGGACGCAAAGCACAGGTGCATAAAGGGCTCACTCACACCTGTTACCAGAGGCAAGAGGCATGTACATCATGTTGGCACTGAAACGCTGAGAACGTCCATTCCCCTCAGCCCAGGAAAAGTGGAGGTGCCTCTGAGGCCCTGGAAAAAAAGCAACAGCCAGGAGAGAGGAAGACAGGAGCCAATGGAGAGAGGCCAGGGGCAGGCCCAGGGGGGAAAGACACGTGCAGGAAAGAACCCTGCCCAAGAAGTAGGAGGGGCTGGGCCAGGAGCGCCCTTCCCGGACTTTGGAACAATTGCCCTCACACCAGGACCAGCAGAGAATCCCTGAAGCGCAGACTTAAGGACATAGTCCCACACTCAGCTGACCTACAAGCCAAGGGGACACACACATATGCATGTTTCGGGAATTTTCCTCCGCCCAGTACCCCCCGAGCCTCCCATGCACATCACAGGCCCAGGACTACAGCTTTGTCAGAAACAAAACAGGCCCAACATTCCATGGTTAGAAAGAGAATTTTAAAGGAGTTGAAAGAACGGAAATCAGTGATCTGTCCCCTTCCAGGGCGGGGAGAAGACCTCCTTCCCCACAGGTTCAAGACTATGGCTAGGTGGTGAGGAAGGCAGGCCTGGAGCCCAAGCCGCGGGGAGACCCAGAAAGGGCCCGTGCCAGGCACTTAGCTGGAGGAGGCAAGAGCAGCCCTTGGACCACAAGATGTGATGGCCACTGGGGCTACTGGTTCTGGAAACAAGCTTTCCCCTTTCCAGAAACGTGGTCTTTCTGTGAGCAGAGAGCTGGCTGGAGAAAGGTTTCAGAAAGGTGTGTACCTAGGACCCTGAGGGTGGCCCTGGCCTCTCCCTTTCTCCTTGGCACGAGCCATACAACACTGAGGAAAGGCGCTGGGTTTGGCAGCAAAACCTTCAACAGTCTTCATCCCTGTCAAGCTCGGTGGCTCTCAGGGTGACCGGAGAGGAGACAGACTAACTTGAGGAGTCTTCATCTTTCAGTTTCTCCCTCAACCTGAAGCACTTACATCCTGGGGCCACGGTTCAAGGGGAGACACACAGACAAACACACAGAGACATTGATAAACACACACACACACACACACACACTCACATTTGGGAACCCAACTCAGGGAGCAGGCGGCTCTAGGCGCTGTCGGTCCGGGACGTGCCTGCTTGGCATCTATCCTGTCCTAAAGCCCTTTCCAACCACTTCTACTCCCAGGCCCAGCTGGGTGAGATGCTCCGGCTTCCGCTCTGGCAGGCTGATCATAAAGGCACAGTGTAGGCAAGTCCCCTACTGGGATGGCCATTGCTCGGAAGCAGGGAAGGCTAAGGGGCCCGCAGCTGCCCGAGGCTGGTGTAGACATCCTCTGCTCCGCTCAACTCCTCAAAGATTGGGATCAGGTTTAGCAGCTCAGTGTCTGCCATGTCATCAAACCAAGACTGCACGGGCACCTAGGGCAGGAAGAGGCAGAGTAAGTCTCCTGAGTGCCAGTCCCTCCCTCACCCCAAAGCCCCAGGAGGCCGGCTGGGTACACCCTGCTGCCACGCCCCTCTGGGGAAGCCTGGGCTTGTGCTGCCGGCCCCCCCCGGCCCCTCCCCCACTCCTGCAGCGTGGCTGTGTCTGGACCACTCACTGCGTTCTCTGGGTGGAAGATGTACGAAGCGGGCGAGTTGTCCAGAATGAGGGTTTTCCTCAGGTCCCTTCCCAGGCGGCTGAGGTCCTTGACGTAGCAGCCTTGGTGGAACACGCAGGACTCCCGGAACAGGCGGGCCCGGAACACCCCGCACCTGTCCAGCAGGTCCGTCACTGGGTCGGCGTACTAGGAGGTGAGAAGGTGCTTTCATTCGGATGCAGTCCTGGCCCCACCCCACCCCACCCGGGGCCTCCCCGGGCCCAGCGAGGAGCTGCCGGACCAGCCCTGTGGCTGCCACTGACGCTCCTGGCTCCAGACTTCCCTTCAGCCCTCAGGTACCTTGGCCAGGCTGGCAGTGAAGAGAACACATTCGAAGAGCTCCCCCATTCGCCTCAGGAACTCGTCCACGTAAGGCCTCTTGAGCACATATACCTGAGGAAAAGGGGAGAGGCTTGCTGGGGGCAGCCCTGTGAGGGAGCCCACTGCACATCCGTCACCGTCACCACGTCCACGGAGACCGGCAGGCAGGTTCGCACCGCTCCCCGTCCGGCCCTACGGCCTGAGCTCTGGGGCCACCTGGCTGGACACTTCCACCCCACGCACTAGGGCCTTGTACCGCCTCCTCACCAGGTTTCTGCAGGCTTGGCGGCCCAACCTTGACCCAGCTCAGGAAGAAACGCACGCGCCTCCGTCCCAGAAGCCATCTCCGTTTCAGGCGGCGAACCATCGGCTGCCTCCAGAAACAAGTAATCAAGAATAGGCCTCACGGACGGAACAGCCTATCCTGGATTACTTGAATCCAGCCACAGCCTGTGGGAGCTTCCTGTCCTTGGCTCTGGCTCTTGTGCGAGGTCGCACACGCTGCTGAAACCTCACGCCCTCACAGGGCTTCTCTGAAACGCGCCAGGGAGAAGGGACTTCTTTCCTGCGATGACTGCGCCGGACACCCTGCACGTCACACCCGGGCTTGCTCCAGCCGGCCACCCGAACTCACGCCCACCCTTCCTGATCGCGTGCATTTTGGCCTAAGAGGTTCACTGGCTACATGTCCCTCACCGCTCTGCATTCTGCTGCTTCCCTGCCTCCAGGATCCTTCCCTCTCCTCTAGCCTCGATGTTGCTAGAACCATTCCTTCGAAGCTCGTGTTATCCACGTCACTCCCTGCCCAACGAGCATGTGTCTGCCATGACTCTCCCTCCTTGGAGGAGGCCTGCAGCGGCCACTAACTCCCCACACCCCTGGTGGCTTTGCGGCAGGAGCCCTTTGCTCCAAGTAGCCACAAGAAGGCTCCCTGCATTTGCCATTTCTTCAACCTTAGACCAGTTCCTCCCTCTTCTTGGCTGTTTCTCAAACTTGGCATCCCCCTGCCACTCCTCACTGAAAACCTGCCTTCTGTAGGTAGCTGCCCGCCAATTTTAATCTCTGTTTTTCAGGATTCATGCTTCTCCTTGTGAATCAGGAGTTCACAGTGCACATCTACCCGTCTGAAAACATGGCTTCATCTTTTCTCCGTGGGTTTCGTATATCTCCACACGCTCCAGCGGACTGGGTGGAGGCTGACCAGTCCGAGGGCCAGGCTTGGTTCTGAGCTGGGGCTGGTGGTGCTGGGCCTGGTGCAGCACTTCAGTTGGGAGGGGGTGGTGTTAGGGAAAGAAGCTTCTAAGGGACAGAGGACAGTGGTGACTCCTTGGGGAAGCCTCAATCCCCTCCTTCCCTACAAGTAATTCTTCTATTTGCCAAGGCCACGTGGACAGGTATCCGGGTTGGCCGGGCATGGTTGCTGATGCTCCCTGACCCTCAGGCCAGCTGGCAAGCCTCTGGAGTACACACTTTTTCACTATCAACGCCACACAATCCCAGACTGAACAGGCTATGTAGGGCCAGAGCCTAAGCTTACTTGGATTGATGTGCTCTTCCGTAGCATTTACCGGGGTGGGGGAACCCAGTGGAGGGGCCCAAGAGGAGGGAAAGTGGAGAAGCCAGGGCTGGGGAGGATGAAATTCATCAGCCAGAAGGAGCGGGTGGGCAAGGCGATGACAGAAAACAGCTAGTACTGGCTTCCTTGCCTGAACCAGGCAGATACACCAACACTTCAGGATTAGAGGAAGTGTCATCATTTAACAGCCCTGGCTACAATGGCCAGGAGGTGGGATTCAGTAGATTACAGCTATTACTATTATTAAATAATATTTTAATTTCTTTTTTTTTTAATTTCTACTTTTTTTTTCAATTTTTTTTTAATGTTTTATTTATTTTTAGGAGAGAGAGAGAGAGAGAGAGAGAGACAGCGTGAGCAGGGGAGGATCAGAGAGAGAGGGAGTCACAGGCTGAAACAGGCTCCAGGCTCTGAGCTGGCAGTCAGCACAGAGCCCGACGCGGGGCTCGAACCCACGAACTGCGAGATCATGACCTAAGCGAAAGTCGGACGCTTAACCGACTAAGCCACCCAGGCGCCCCAATAATATTTTAATTTCAAACAGCTTGGTTGCAAAGCAAAAAAAGATGACAGCTAGATGGGAATAAAGACGCTGATTTTTTTTTTTTTTTTAAGATCACAAAGCCTTGAGTGTGAGGAGTTCCAACACGGAAAGGAGGCTGAAGATGCAGGAAAGGGACCGACTGATGGAGCACACCAGAGGGGCGGAGGAGCCGGAGGCCTCCAGGCTGGCTGTGGCCCGGCAGACAGCTCACCTGGTGAGTGGTCCCCTCAATCTCTACAGGCACTATGAAGTCGGCGTTGATGATTGGCTGGAAGACAGAAAAGTTAATGAGGTCAGCATGGTAGGAAGGAGACAAGAAGCCTTGGCCACACCCGGTCCCCTGGGAGGGGTGGGGAGAAACAGGTCTCAGAGACTCCAGGAAGCTCCTCCCACCACCCCATGTAGAGCACACAATATCCCCTCCAGGTATTCCTCACTACCTCCCCCCAACCCCCAATTCTACCCGAGCAGACAGAATGTCAGGACCTTCCTAAGTTAACAACCGTCCTGACAAAATGGTGGCGGGCAAGGTCCACGGGTTGGCTGATTCAAACCCTTATACAGGCCTGCCCTGTACAGAGTCGGTGGCTCTCTGGGCTGTGTGACTAGGGGCAGATAAAGCCTGCTGGCAGAGACTAGGGGGAGCAGGGATTCCTTATTCAACATTCCTCCGTGTGGCCCCCAAAATATGTGTGATAACAGTGTGGCCAAAATGGCAGAGCCCCCCTCCCCGCCTACCCCTCCCCCCCCATCAACTTTACGCTGCCTCCGAGAGAGCACCTTCAGTTAGACACGCAAGACAGCCTGAGATGGCTGTAGGGCGGACTCCAGATACGGAGTTACCTTAAAGGAGCTATGCACAAGGGTTTCATCCAAGTCGATGACCACGCAGATCCTTCCTTGATCTTCCTCTGTCACCTCTGGGAGCAGGCAGGTCCCCGGGATCTGAAACCAGAGCCAGACTGCTGAGGTCTGCCCAGGAAAGCCCAAGTGTTCTCTTCAGCAGAACTCTGGGAAGAACCAGGCTCCTCGAGGACACAGAAGACCCCCGACTTCAACCCAGAAGAGGTGCCATTTGAAGGCCAAGAAGCAGAGAAAGAGACAGAGTTGGTGCCTCGGCTCCAGCCTCCCACTGGACTATGAAGTGCTCTGGACGCTGAGATGCAGGCCAGGGCTGGTGTGGGATGGATGTCAGCTGTCCCCTCCCCCAAATCTAATGCCTTTGCAGAGTGAGTCCTCCGCAAATATCCGGCACAAATGGCTTCCCAGGGTGGGGCCAGCCAGGTGCTGAAGAATGAGGGGATCACCCTATGTGGTCACAGGGTCTGGGGTTTTTGGGCATGTACCCTGTCAGATTCACGTACCTGATAAAACTGGTACTGGAGACAGTGGAGCAGATCGGACTGTGGGAGGAAAGGAAGCAGTCAGTGTCGACCAGCCGATGCTGTCCTACCTAAAGCAAACTGCTTCTGCCTCAGGCCTGGCAGGTAAGTTTCTCCCCAGGTCCCCAGTCCCCTGGAAGGTCCTGATATAACGAAAGTGATTTTTCTTTCCTTTCCTTTCTATTTACTCTGAAAGAGACAATAAGCCTGTGCACAAAAGAGAATCTTAAGCAGACTTTGCACCCAGCACAGAGCCCTACCTGGGGCTCAATCTCACAACTGTGAGATCATGACCTGACTGAAATGAAGAGTCAGATGCCTAACCCACTGAGCCACCCAGGCACCTTTTTTTTTTTTTTTTTTTTTAAAGGAAGCTCTACGCCCAACGTGGGCCTTGAATTCATGTCCCTGAGGTCTCAGGAGTCGCATGCTCTACCACTAAGTCAGCCAGGCGCCCCTCAAGTGACTTTTCGTAAGAGCTGCACAGGAAAGGGGAAAGGCCAGAGCTGCCTTTCAACACTGGGTCTCATGAGGGATGGAGAAGGCAGCGTCTCAGGTGGATAAACTGAGGAACAGGGCACTCCAGTGGCTAATGCATGGAATCAGAGACAGAACCAAAATTGGAACTCCTCCCTGTGGTGGCTCAGCATCTTGCTGAGTCCTGGAACCCAGGCTTCTCTTTGAGAACAGGTGTCTTCTGTACTCTCTTCTGGGGGTGATACACCGTGCGGGGAGGGCCCTGAGCCCCTAGGATACATCAAGTCTGCCCACATGGTGGGACCCGAGATGTACGGGAGGTGGAATACAGAAGGCCCAGAAAGGCTTCCCTGGCCTTTTGCTGATAATAGAAATGTTGTTATGACTGTAAAAAGTGATACCTTGAAGAAAAATTAAAATCCTAGCATTTAGGAAAAATTCATGTCAGCATTTTAGTGTATTTCCTTCAAGTCTATTTTAGCAGTTCTTTCCCCCATAATCTGTAATTCCACATTCTGTTTTTTTGACTTAATGTGGCAACTCAATACTTTTCCGTATTATTGTGAACTTTGTAAAAATCAATTACTAAGTAACACTGTCATGTTGCACTTTATTTAAGTGCATTTCCGCCTACTGGATAAATGCACTGATGCACATCTTCAGCCTCGTTCTGAGAGAGGAACCAGATAGCTAGACCTTGGTGTTTCGGAAAGAAGTAACCAATGGCATTGGGGGCAGATGGGTTTTTAGTCAGGGCTATGCCCAGCCTTGAAATGCCAGACACACCTTCTGCTCATTGGCAGGCTCAAAGACACCCATACATTTCCCAATGCTTGTCCTCCCCAGGACAGGTGAGAGTGCTGGAGTGTGGTAGAATTTCAGTTCCTTCGTTCCCAGGAAGGGAAGTAACTTGGAAGACAGCTTTGCATAGTAATCCACAACAACAACAAACAGAGGTGTCACAGCCAGAGAGACGGTGCTCTCACTCTGACACAACTGTTTACTAACCACTAACTCTCCGGGGGCTACACAGACCCTCTGGAGCTCCGTTTCCAGGTGTGTGAGTGGGACCAGCCTGTGTCCCTCCTTGCCAGGCTGCTATTTGCACCACATGAGACAATATATGCAAAGTGCCCTGGACGGTTCCTGGAACATGGGAGGGTCTGGACCACAGGGGCCCTCAGAAACCACAGGGATAGCTGCATGGCCCACATTGCAAACGGGAGCCCGCAGAAAGAAGACGGGCCACTCTAGGAAGGCCAGGGGAGGGGCCTCTGAGCCACAGGTCTTTGAGACTTCAGGGAAGAATACCTTGCCCACATACTGTGGTGCGGGGGCCCCCACTGGCAGCCCCCTCCTTGCTGGCATCCCGCCACCCTGATCTAGCTACCTTAGCAATGGTGTTGGCTTCCTCCTTGTATGCGGAGAGCTCAGTGGAGGAGCTGGACTGGCCAACATGCTGGGGGCGAAAACAGCAGAAAAAGGCCTTGAAGATGTTCCGTCCACGAGGTTTCTTAGGAGAGGACTTGGAGACCAGGCCTAGAGCAGAGGGAATGATGAGGCATTAGCTACCAGATGACTCTGTCCCCAGGTGGCCCTGTGCCTGTATCCCCTCCTGTCTGTAAGCTCCCCACCAGGCACACACCACCTGCTGGGCAGATAACCCCATACGGTCACCACTGAAACACACATGTTCATTCCAACAGTCCTCTAGAGCAGAGGCCGCAGGAATCCCCACTCTCCGGTTTGGGAAATGAGCTGTGGAGAATTCGGTCTTACTCCCTGGTCGGGGAGGGGCACAGGTATTGCGTTCTGGTGTCCTGCACTCTGGAGGTGGCACACTGAAGGACCCTCAGAAGGAAGATTCACCGAGGCCAAAATCCATCTCGACCAACTCCAGCTCGAAGAATGAGCTGTTCTACACAAGGGAGAAACCTAGGCCCTGCAAGTCAGTGGAGCCCCAGGCCTGTTCCGGGTCAGTGTCCCTGGAAGCTGGGTCAGTGGCAGCAGGACGGAGGCCAGCTGCAGCCCCAGGGAAGAACTGCGCTCCTCCACTCCCCCGCCACTGGCCCTGCTGCCTCCCCTCCCAGGCGCACAGCCCCCCCCCCCCGGGAAACACACCTGGTGTCAGATTCTCGGCGGCTGCCAGCCTGGTTTTTAGACTGCAGCTGCTCAGTCTTGCCTTCGTAACTCAGGCTTTGGAAATACAAAGCCATCTTAATAGGACGCTCGGCAAGGCAGCCCCAGAAAAGCCAAGCTGACACAAAAGACTACGGGCATTACAGGATCAGCCGGAGATGGACTTCAGAGTGTCTTTCCAGTGCTGCCTGCTTTTCCAGGAGCTGTTCTGGCAACTGTTGAGGAAGTGTAGGAAGTGTAGGAAGACCTGGTGGGCACTGTGGCCAGGAGGTGGCGCCACATAACTGCTGCCAGAATGGTCCCCGGCCACAGGTCTCTGCCTGGGCGGGAGGGGCTGAGGATTAAAGCCAGCCCACTCCATCACAGAGCCAGGGCAAACTACAATACAGGAAACAAAATGAATCTGGAAACACCTGTCTCTGTGGGGGTTAAAAAGGCCAACAAATGTGGCACCAAGGACAACTTTCCTCCAGCTGTTCCCTTTGCGAAGCGAAGGGGGAAGCAATGAGGTGGGGCCCACCACGAAGCAAGGTAGGGCTTAGTCCTCCGAGCACGGAGGCCCTTGGAGAGAGGCGGTGGGACAGCCATTTAACAACCGCTATGGGCTGCCTGGACCCCCAGAGAGGAGGAGAGAAAAGCAAACTCTATTCTCCATGACCCAGGGGGAGGAAATGGCCGCTGACCAGCAGTCAGGTGGCCGCCAGCACCGCCCCAGGACAGCCCGCTCCACTCTGACTCACCAGCAGCAGAGGGCTTCCTGCAGGTGCAGGCTAGTGTGTCTGCTGTTCAGAGCTTGCTCTCCTTCCCTGGGTGAGGCCAGACCCTGACACTGGTATGACCATTTGACACCTTTAGTTAAAGTGATCGGGCCTCCCTAGCAATTTGCCTACACACCTGGATATTGCTCTTGAGCTCTAGGCCCCAGTGGAAAAACCAAGATTTCCAGGGACTGGGGATTTTGTGATAAAGGGAAGAAGTTGCACTGGGGCCCCTGTTATCAAGGAGACAAACCTCAGAGCAGAGCCCAGTGCTGAAGAGCAGGATGTGCGGCTCCCTGGACTTTTTCCTACTCTTAATAATCTAAGCAGAAATCAGAGCAAAAGGGCGGCTTCTCCACCTGCCTGCATGGCCCACATTCAATTCCGAGCCCAGGGACTCCAGCAGACGCTGACACAGAGCTCCAAGACCAGAGCTGAACCATCACTTTTCCTTTGGTTTATGGTTTCTTCACGCAGAACCACAATCAGAGGCTTAACCCGGGCACGGAGCCTTTCTTCAAAGGCCACACAGCCCGAGCCTTGCCTGAAGAGAGGCCGTCAAGAACGCACTCAGCATCTTAGTGACAGACGATGTGAAGGCTGAGTAATCCTAAGAGGCAGGGGGGTGAAAGGGGCAGCTGGCTGCGGCCACAGAGAGGACTGGCCGGTGCCCACTGCGGGAGGCCCAATAGGCAGAGACACTGGGGCCTTAGACACAGAGCTTGGTGGGGTGGGGGGCAGGGGCTCCTCAGCTTCATCTGGACTCAGCAGGGGCTGAAGGTCTTCTCAAAAACACAATGTGGCCAGGCAGCTTCTGGGCCTCAGGGACCACAAATGCCTTGACCTCGGGGGCAGGCGCTTGGAGCGGAACACAGAGCTGTGGCGCCTGGGGAGGGTATCCCAGGCCCACAGCAGCAAGGTCAATACCCCACAGGTCCCTCTGTTGGGGCCCTACTTCCCCCAGTCCTTCTCCAGGCTGTTGTGTCCTCCTTGTATTTTCCAGCGCTGCCTCTTTAGCAGCAAATCTATCAGGGCCTCTTTAGCCTCCCCTCAACATGTCTGCCTCCTGATGGGGCCTGCGATGGCCTTGGCCACGTATAGTCACCAGCCTCTGGTGCTCTGCATAGCAGATTCTCAGTCACTGTGACCGGCTGAGTGAATGACTGCGGGAAGTCCAGGGACTTGTGCGTCACTTCTACAGAGCCAGGCCCCATGGAAGCCTTCGCTGGTTTCCAACAACCTGGAAGACTTAGAAACAGAAAAGCACCCTTTATGTGAGGACAGGAAGATAGGCAATGGAGGAGCAGAGCACCCAAAGCAAGCCTGTCAGCCTTTCTGCGCCTTAGTCAGGTTTACTGTGTACTGATGAGGTGCCAGCCCTCTGTTAGGACACTTGACATCATCACTTCAATTAATCCTTACTACAAACCCATCTGTAAGCACCAATTCCCCATCTTACAGGAGCAAGACTGGAGCAAGTACTCGTGGTTACACAGGGAGTATGACAGCGGAGCCAGAACTGCACCTAGACCTGCCTTAACCTGGAGCCAGCCCTCACCCATTACCCCACAAGGGCCCTGACAGGGGGCATTGTGTACATTCACTCATGTGACAGCAGGGATGTTTGTTTATTCTACTCCTCTCTAGGCTAGGATGGTAAAGGAGTAGTTTGGGGCCAAGCCCCCATCTTAGCTGTCCTCTCTGGCAGGCCATGAAAGGTACAAGGCTCTGCGATTCCACCCCAGGGCTCGCTTCATCCCCATCCCAGCCCTGCACCTGCTCTGACAGATACCTCTGGGAAATCAAGAGGACAATGGGGGAGGGGGAAGGATAGGGGCTGGAGACAGGGGCTCTGCCCCAAGACCTGCTTTGTTCAGCAGGTTTAGGGGAAGGGGGAACACTCATCAGAGTGTGATCTGAACCCTGTGTCAAAGAGCCTTTCAAAGGGCTCCTTTCAGCCGGCGCTCAGCACTGTGTCCCTGATGGCCAGGTGCAGGCCACCCCCAAATCCCCCTCTTAGGACAGGAACACGGGGCATGAGAGGACTTACAGGCCGGGCCCTGGGGATTTCGTTGTACACGGTTTCCCAATCAGCGAGTGGAGGCTCCAGTGGGTGCCATGGAGCCCCATAGCCAGCCGCTCCCCCTCCTTCATTCCTCTTGCTGCCCTCTTTGCGGACACCCCGCCTTCCTCTCCTGCCCAGCAGCCGACGTGCATCTGCTCTCCCTGCTCCAAACATCTGGTTTGGGCCCGAGTGTTGGAGAGGACAGGCACAGACCCAAGGAGGGGACCTCTGGCTTAAGAGGAAAGTGAGCAGGTGGCTGGGAACAGGGAAGCCAGGCCACTCCTCCAGTTCACTGCTGCAAGGCCTCTGCCAAGGCAGGGGGGTGAAGGGACGGTGGGGTGTGGCAGGCACCCCCTGCTCAGAGGCCAGACCCTGCCAGTCCCCACCTTGGACTGACAGCCAGCCTCTTTAAGCCTTGGTTTCCTCATCTGCTACCTGGGGTAACACCAGGGCCTCACTCCTGAACGAAGGGAGAAACAAATCCTGCTGTCTGCACAGTAATGTGCCACGGAAACTCTACAGCTAAACGCTGTGCCTGTTTTCGTATCTAAGGGGAGATGACTCTCGTAGAGCACACTGTAGACCTCGTGGCGGGAGACCAGCAACAGGGACAGGGGCCTTCCCGCTCCCAGCATGTGGCTGAAGCCCAAGAGGAGAAAATGTGAGAAAGGTGCCAAAGGACGCTGATAGTGAGCAGGTTTCACAAAATCAAAACCACCCCTACCTGCTTTCAAATCCACCACCAAAGGTGTCTTCCAGCGTGCAAACGCCCTGGCTAATATTCTGCGAGTAACAGGAAAGCAGGAGAGGCTGCTCCGCCTGAGATAAACAGTGCCCTCTCTCTGGCTGTCTATCATTGTTGCCCCCAAGAAGCACCAGATGGGGGCACTATTTGCCTCTACCTCGTAAGAAGCTTGTGCACGTACAGGTCTGCGCCCTCGCGTGCGCGCGTGCGCGCGCACACACACACACACACACACACACACACACGAAGATTGGCTCTGCCAGGACAACACTATTTATAACCTTCTTCTGAAGGTCAGGTTCAGATATCACCGTTGCCAACAACACAGCTTCGTGTCCCAGCAAAGGAACTCCTCACACGTCCGCCTAGGAGTCGGCAGAAGGCAAGCTCTCAGGCAATGGGGTTTTAACAAGCCCATTCACATAGAAAGATGCTTTCTTGGTTCTCTCAGAAGTACTTCCTTCCCCACCATTTCCCATCCCCCCACAAGCCAAGGACTTAGCCCGGCTGTCACTATAAAATGGCCTCTCTGAGGGGCCTCCCTCCCCTTAGCTATTGGAGGAAGGAGAGTATTTGGAGCATTTCCGGCCCTTCTTGGCCAGCTGCCTGGGCCCTGCAGCCAAGACACGTCTGATTGGGGCTCCCCACGGAGAGGAGTCCTCCCAGGTCCACAGCAAGGGGCTTCTGGGCCTTGGCTGGGGATAGGCCCTGACGTGCCAGGCGGACGGAAGGGCTCCTTGGACCGGCAGGTGAGTCGGCAGGGGAGCAGGAGGCCGAGAGATGCCTAGACATCCCCCCCACAGAAAAGACTGGAAACAACGGCGAGGGTATA